AAAAAATTTCAAAATCCACAAGAGAGAGCGGGAGAGGAACAATATTGGCGGGGTGAAGTACAAGGAGAGAGAGAGGAGAAGAGAGAAGGAGAATGAGAGGAGAGAGGAGGGAAGAGGGAACAAGCCAGAGTACAGAGGAGAAGATAGAGGAGGGGAGGGGAGGAGAGAGGAGAGAGGTTGTTGATTGAGTCAAGCAGTCAGGAAGGAGAAGAGCCAGGGAGGGAGAGAGCGAGGGGAGGGAGAGAGCGAGGGCATGTGGAGGAGCTTGGAAGCAGCCTGGGAGCAGGACGAGTCTGAGGGCCTTCACGCCCGATGTCCCTCAACCTGCAAACTGCAATCCCTGAAGCCTCCCTGCGGAGCTTGCAGAGAGTACGTGGAGCACCTCCTCTGCCTCCTTCACGACGACGTCCACAGCTGCAAGCAGTACCTGGACGACTCAGACGCGTCTCGGTCCTCGACGCTGGAGCGCAGATCGGAGGAGTCGGTGGGGATCCGAGATTTCCGGCAGCTGGTAGAGGAACTTCGAATGAGGGCACAGGAGAGCTCGCTGGTGTGCAGGAGGCTCGGGGAAGAGAACGAGGCGCTTCAGAGCATCGTGTTGATGGAGAAGAGTGCGAGGGAGGAGGCGCTGCTGGAGTTTGTTCGGGCGCACGAGGAGCTTGCGAGGTGAGAGAGGAGCCGCCGGTGGAGCGATCTGATGGCGGGTTGAAGGGAGAGCAAGAGGAGGAGCGACGCTGAGCTGGAGCTGATGGAGGTCAAGAGCGAGCTTGCGGCTCTGCGGCGGGAGCAAGAGGAGCAGTCGAGAGAGTTGGAAGGGATGAAGCGACAGGTAGAGCAAGGAGAGGAGGTGAGATCGATCGGCAGGTTGTACATTCCTGTCACTGACTGATGAATCTTTCAAGAGCATGAGGGCTTGGCAAAGCAAGGTGAGCAAGAGGAGGAAGAGGAGGGGCAGGGTTGTTGTGCTCTCCTCTCATACGAGATGAGCAGGTGGCAATGGCGATGATGGATATGGCGGAGGAGCTGGAGGCGATTAAGAAGGACCATGAAGAAGAAGTCAGAGAAGTTTGACAACCTCCTGCCCATGTGACTTGCTGGCCCAGGTGGGAGAGGCGAGGAGGCGGCTGGAGGAGCTGGAGGGTGTGGTGGAAGAGGAAGCTGAGCAGTCCCGCCGCCTTCAGGGTGAGTTGAGAGAGCTCGCAATGAGCTGCGAACGATCGCTGGAGGACATGGAGACGCGCCGTAGGGAGGAAGCGGCCAGGGCAGACTTCCAACTCCAGCAGATGGTTCGGCTGATACAGGCGTGCGAGGAAAGGAGCAGAGATGCAGAGCTCGAGCTCGAGAGGTGCGAGAGGGAGACGAGGAGAGGGAGGGAGGAGCGTGTGCGGGCAGTCAGCATGTTCGTGATGTCTGCCTTGCCCGGACTGTTGGGGTCTGTGGAGGAGTTGGTGAGGAGAGAACTGATGGAAGCAGAGGAAGAGCTGGAGAGGGAGAGGGGAAAGGGAGAGAACGGTCGAGATCGTGCGAGGCGAGCCAAGGCCAGCTGGAGATGCTGCTGGTCGAAATGGTTGGGGACGTGGAAGCGCTGGAGAGTATGGTGGAAGAGATCGCAGCTGAGAATGTGACGAGGAGGAGAGAGCATGAACAGCTGGCGAGAAGGCAGGAGGAGAAGGTGGAGCAGGTGGAACGTCTTGAACGGTGTTTGGTGTGGTCTTGCGAGGAGTTGCAAGCGCTGCTGGCAGAGGCTCAGGGAGTAAGGGAGGAGATCAGCCTCATACAGGACGATCGTGACCGCAACTGCCGTCGTGCGGAGGAGCTGGAGCGAGGCTGGAGCGAGAGTCAGCAGCTGGTGCGAGCGCAGGAGGAGGAAAAGGAGAGGCTGACTCGAGAGGTCGAGACGCTGAGGGGGATAGTGGCAAAGATGGACGAGAACTACGGCGACCTTTACGAGGCTGCAAACCGAAAGTTTGACGAGCACGAGGAGGAGATGTCGGAGATCTTCAGGATCCTGCAGAGAATGAACGGGAGCTGGGAAGGCACGAGAGGACTTTGACTGACGTCATCGCTCATTTGCTCTTTGCGCACGAGAAGAACCGGATGGACGAGGAAGTCATCCGTTCTCTCCAAGGTTCTCTCGATCGGGCGGAGGTGAGGGAGGAGGAGAAGAGAAAGGAGGAAGAGGAGAAGGCGGAGAGGAGGAAGAAGGAGGAGGTGGAGATGACAGCGCTCAAGTCAACTTGCGGACAGCTGGAACAAGTCGTCGCCTGCTCCCAGCAGGTTTCAGATCTCGTGGCGCAGTGCCTGGAGATTTTCTTGTGCAGGAGAATCGTGGAGATGGAGGAGGAGGTGCTGTGGAGGATGAGGAGGACTGCAGAGAAGGAGAAGAAGGTAAGGCTGCTGCTGCTGCTGCTGCTGCTGCGAAGGGGGAGTGACGCGCTGGTTGTCTGCAGAGGAGCGAGGAGGAGGCGAAGATGAGAAGAGTCTACCTGCTGTGGACTGACCGGCACATACACCGGCAGCTCCTCGTCTCCTCCTTCTCAGCTTGGAGGGACTTGTGCTCGGGCAGGATCTGCAAGACGGCCTTACAGCACAGGAGGGTCAGGTCGAGGTACCTCCAGCTTCATAGCTCGTTCCTCTCCCTGTCGTCCCACGCGCGGCTGAGGAGGGGGAGGAGGAGGACTCTCGTGCTGGTCGAGGACTCGCGAGAGAGGAGGACGGTAAGAAGCTTCTTCGCGGTCCTGGCCACCTCCTGCCGCCATCATCGTCTTGTTGCTAACTTCTCCTCCTTCCTCCTGTCGAGATCCGCTCGAGCCATGAACAAGCTCCTCCTCTCCGTCTGGTCCGCCTCCTGCAGAGGAAGAGGACGGGAGGAGGAGGGCACACAGACGGAGGACAGCTTCCTAAGGATAGAGGAGGAGAGGAGCAGGAGCAGGAGACGCGACGAGGGGCTGAAGAGGAAGACTCTCTCCCTTCTGCTCCGCCACGAGCTGGCGGGTGCCATGATGCTTCTCAAGGAGGGGACCAGCCGAGCCAAGGAGGAGAGGAGAATGACGAGGAGGAGACAGCTGAGGATCACCAAGGCCTGCTGGGCCAGGCTCCGAGACAGCGCAAAGGAAGACGATCTCCTGCTGCTGCTCCGCCTGCTCCTCCTGCCCCAGCTCACCATCCTCTCCCTTCCCCAGCATCTAGCTTTCCACCTGTGGGCTTTCTCAGCTGTTGGAGGGGCGGGCCATGTCCGCAAGCTAGTCAAGATCTGTCAACTTTCAGCGGTGCTGACTTTGCGGGGTTCGGGGAACTCTCGCCATCCCCTGCTGGGCGCGGGCTGCCAGAGCGATCAGCTGGGGCCTGAGCTGACGAGCCTGCACGAGCAGGTGAAACAGTCGCTCCAGAAGCTGGCGGTCAGGGTGACCACCCCACCCTCCCTGCCAGCAGGCAGCGATCTGACGAGCAAGGTGACCACCCCCTAGCCAACAGAAGGCGAGCTGACGAGCTCGTGGCAGGTGCAATGCAGCTGGGGAAGTGCCGGGGGCCTGCGAGGCGACGCACTGGAGGCCTACAGTAACGTGGAGGAGAAGGTGCAGACGTCGCTGCGAGAGCAGCTGATGGCCATCGACCTGATCCTCAACGACGTGCAGCGACGGTTCAAGTTTGACAACGTCAGGTCAAACATCGAGCTGTTCCCCAGCATTGAGGACAGCGGGTCAGCTCGAAGAGAGGGGGGACCTGACAGTGGGGGAGGAGACGAGCTGGGCATGGCGATGAGCTGGAGGAGAGCTGGCGGTGCTGGCAGGAACGACCGGCAGCGGGGCATCATGGCGGAGGCTGTGAAGCAGCTGGAGGTTGACTTGTCCTCGGTGCGAGCAGCTTCCCAGCAGCTGATGAAGAGATGCGACGACAAGTTGTCTCGGCTGGAGGCGAGGGTTTCCAGCACAGCAGCCGCCGCAGCAGCGGGAGGAGCAGGAGCAGGAGCAGGAGCAGGAGCAGGAGCAGGAGCAGGAGCAGGAGCAGGAGCAGGAGCAGGAGCAGGAGCAGGAGCAGGAGCAGGAGGAGTTGCTGACCTGAAGGCAAGAGCTTTCTTCCTCTCCCTGTCCCTCCTCCGTCGCAGGTATCACCACTTCCTCCTCCTCAGATCCCTCCAGGTCTGGCTCGGAGCCCAGGAAGCCCCGGCCGACGTTCCCAGCAGGGCGAGACGGGAGGGGTCACTCCTTATCGAAGACTCTAGAGCCACAAGGGGAGCTGACGGATACCCAGACGCTCCTCTCCTCTCTCCTCCTCCTAGGAGCAGCCGCAGGGCGGAGGGAGGAGCTTCTCCTCCCTCTCCAGCTGCCAGGGCAGGCGGAACAGCAGGAGATCTCAACTCGCAGCTCTCTCGCTTCCTCCACGCCACAGAGGACAGCCTCTCCTCCACCGAGATGCTCCTGCTAGACACTAAGGCGGCCGTCAGCTGGAGGAGATCCAGTAGCGTCTCGTCTCCCAGCCAGTCTCCGACCTGGAGCAGCAGCGGCTTCATGCTGGGAGGTGTTGGGATCAAGATCTCCGGCTCCTCCCCCTTCCGCGTCACTTCCCTCCTCCCTGGTGGACCCGCCGAAACCTCGGGCCTGCTCAAGGTTGGCGACATGATCACCAAGATCGACGGGATAGAGGTTCTCCTCCTCCTCCT